CCCCGCGTATTCTGGGGGGGGGGGGGGGGGGCAAAATTCCGCTCAAAAGCATTACTGCTAGGGGCAAACTGAGGCGATTTTAACGCCCACCATGCCGAATGGCTCGGTTCACGTCTAACCGATCATGCGGGGAGATCTGTTTATGACTTTGCCTTGGCATATGGTCTGACACAACTGGTTACTTCGCCTACGCGGATTCCAGATGTGGAGGATCATACACCTTCCCTGTTGGACCTTCTGCTGACCTCTCATCCGGACGGATATCAGGTTTCCGTCGATGCCCCTCTCGGCTCTTCGGACCATTGTCTGATCCGGAGTGTGGTGCCACTCACGCTCCCTTCGCGGTTGCGTTCTGCAGGTTGCCGCCGTGTTTGGCATTACAGGTCGGCGGATTGGGACGGAATGCGGTCTTTCTTTGCATCCTACCCATGGGGGCGGGTTTGCTTCTCGCCGGATGATCCCAGCGCTGTTGCTGACTCTGTCACTGATGTGGTGCTACAGGGAATGGAACTATTTATTCCATCATCTGTGGTACCCATCGGAGGCAGATCTCAGCCTTGGTTTGGTCGCTCCTGTAAGACTGCATTACGCAGTAAGCAGGAGTGTTATCAAGCCTGGGCTGCGGCTTCGGCGACTCGGGATGTAAATACCAGCACACTTAAAAAGAAGTATAACTTCGCCTCCAGGTCCTTCAAAAAAGTTATTGCCAAGGCAAAGTCAGAGCACATAGGCAGAATTGGCGAGAAACTAGTTCGCCTTCCTTCGGGAACTCGTGCATTCTGGTCTCTCGCCAAGGCTGTCCAAGGGAATTTCTGTAAGCCATCACTACCATCTCTGCACAGGGAGGATGACTCACTGGCCCATGACGCAAAAGACAAAGCCGACCTTTTAGGCTCCCTTTTTGCGTCCAACTCGACTCTTGATGACGGGGGGAAAACACCGCCGACCATCCCGCGGTGTGAGTGCTCCATGCCGGATGTGCTGTTCTCACAGCGCTCGGTTCTCAAAGCACTGCTCTCCCTGGACATCCAGAAGTCGAGTGGGCCTGACGGAATCCCCCCAATTGTGCTGAGGACGTGTGCTCCGGAGTTGGCACCGGTCCTAACGCGTCTTTTCCGGTACTCCTACTCCCAAGGCGTAGTCCCGAATTCATGGAAGACAGCTTTTGTCCACCCGATCCCTAAAAAAAGGCGACCGCTCAGACCCATCCAACTATAGGCCTATCGCGATCACCTCCTTGTTCTCCAAAATAATGGAATCCATTATTAACTGCTAGCTCATCCGGTACCTTGAGGATCACCAGCTGATTAGTGACCGCCAATACGGTTTTCGTCGGGGTCGATCAGCTGGTGATCTTCTGGTCTACCTGACCCATAGATGGGCGGAGGCAATAGAGTCCAAGGGGGAGGTGTTGGCCGTTAGTCTGGACATTGCGAAGGCCTTCGATCGGGTTTGGCACAAAGCGCTTCTTTCGAAGCTCCCTTCCTATGGGCTTCCCAAGAAATTGTGCAATTGGATCACCAGCTTCCTTGCAGATCGGAGCATCAAGGTCGTTGTAGACGGTGCATGCTCTGACTACAAGCCTATTAACGCTGGTGTTCCACAAGGCTGTGTGCTATCACCAACGCTGTTTCTTCTGCATATCAATGATATGTTGCTAACTGGTAACATTCATTGCTATGCGGATGACAGCACTGGTGATGCTCTATTCACCGGCCGTGCCAATATTTCTCGGGAAAACGTCGCTGAGTACCGGAACAAACTTGTGTCTGAAGTCGAGTCTTTGCTGAACAAAGTCTCGGATTGGGGGCGACTAAATCTAGTCCAATTTAATCCTCAGAAGACACAAGTTTGCGCGTTTACCGCTAAAAAGAACCCCTTTGTCGTATCTCCTCAGTTTCAAGGCACTCCCCTTCTTGCCTCAGCCAGTATCGGTATCCTCGGAGTCGACATATCGAGTGACGCGCAGTTTCGTGGTCACTTGGAAGGGAAGGCCAAATTGGCCTCTAAAAAGCTTGGCGTGCTCAGCAGAGCGGGACAGTATTTCATGCCGGCACACCGCCTGCTACTTTACAAGGCGCAAATTCGGCCTCACATAATAACTGAACGGAATACTGTTCCCATCTCTGGGCAGGGGCTCCCCAGTGCCAGCTCCTTCCACTTGACCGCATCCAACGCAGAGCGGCTCGAATTGTCGACGACCGAGCCCTTTCCGATCGGCTCGATTCATTGGCACTGCGAAGAGATGTTGCATCCCTTTGCATTTTCTTTCGCATCTACCATGGGGAGTGCTCTGAGGAATTGTTCGGATTAATCCCAGCCGCCAAATTTCACGAACGCACATCGCGGCAGAACTCCCGATACCATCCACACCATCTGGATGATTGGCGGTCCACCACTGTGCCATTTAGAAGATGTTTTCTTCCTCGCACGACCTCCTTGTGGAATCGATTACCATCAGCGATTTTTCCGGACCGATACGACTTAGGGACCTTCAAGAAAAGAGCGTACTCCTTTTTAAAAGGCCGGCAACGCATCTGCGATTCCCCTGGTGTTGCAGTTGTTCATGGGCGGCGGTAGTCACTTACCATCAGGTGAGCCGCATGCTCATTTGCCCCCTCTCCTATAAAAAAAAAATGTCTTTCCCAACTGCAACAAGCTGGTCAGCAGTCCGTTTTAGAAAGCCACCAACACCAACGGCTGCTCCTTTGCCGTGTCCACGAAAAATTCCACGTAGCCTTGGTGAATTTGTACTTTGAGAAAAGTTTTGTGCATATTAAGTAGAAGTTTTGATTCTGGCGGTAATGAGTAGCGGGTCCATCTGAAAATATGTGTATTACTTTTATCTTAGGGGATTGGTCTTGAATTGAGGAAAGTATAGGATGAAGGTGACTCCAGATTGCCGAAGGGCCGTGAGAAAGGTTACTTGATACTGTACAAAAAGACTTCACCTCTATGTTTTGATTTTCCAAGCTTCGCTTATACAATACGCCAGTATGTAAGGATACCTGGTAACGAGAATCACCAAAGTGGTGTGATTGTATCTCTTCATAGATCTTGCAATTGTAATTTTCGCTGAAATCTACGTGTAGCGCTATTTCCTCTTCTGTCTATCCATTTATAAAGATCTGTAATTTCTGTACTGAGTTGAGTCATGTATTTTATTAAGCGTTTCTTTTTATGATATCTCTCTAAATCCTTCTCCTTAGCTTCCGCTACCTTTTCAAGGTTTTGTTTGCGCTTTTCTTTATAGTGCCGCTGCTTTTCAGCAGTACAAATGATGTAATTTATTAGATAGCTATAATATAATAGTGATTCATAGTAACATAGAAGCAGAGATACACCGACGACAACCATGGCTTGTAACAGCTTAGTAATAACAACTCTGTTACCTCTCTACAACTCAGTTATTAGTAGCTAGTAACATATTTGTGCAGTAACAGAGTGGTAAATTTAACGTTTAGTGACATTTTTTTAGAAATTAAAGTTTATTATGTACAAAGAAAAGCACATTAGATATATCTTACACTGGAGCTACTTCAATAATATAAAACTGTACGGAAATATCTGAATACTTACGCAAAAACACCGGTAACAGAGTACACACAGAATAAAACCACGCGCCTCATACCGCAGCCATCGGATAAATGAATCGTGTACCCACGCCTCAACCGCCGCAAACCGTACGGATAGAACAGTAGATATTTATGATGAAACAATTGCCAAAGAATGAATAGTGCCATCTCTTGGTATTTATCCGGTTTACTGTAGTAACAGAATGTAGCTCTAATATTTTAAAGATCTTGGGACAAAATTTAAAATAATCGCACAAGCTTCAATTAATTTATTTAATATGGATGAATTATGTTTTTAAATGTGTTATGATTGCTTTATTACACTAGCTTTCAAACATAACAATTACATTGAATTGATAAAAAGATATTATGATTTTCGCATGATGCACTGCATATGGGACAGAATTTTCTTGTATGGAAAACAACTATGTTACCAAGAATGACCACTCTGTTACTTGGTAAAAGTAGTGATAAATCAATAATAAAACTTATTTTTTTTTGAGAATAAGCTTAGTAATTCGCCCCATATTTGACAAATCCAATAACATTATAATAATTTAATTAATATCACCGAGAAGAAAACATTTTAGTTCAGGGACGACTTTATCTGCAACCAATTTTAAATTGACCCGGGTACCGATTAGGTGCTAGCCCAGGGCGTTGTCGACATTAAATCCGCCCCTGCTTGATAAGGAGTATGGCAAGAAGACTGGAAGCAGTTTGAAGAGCTAGAGGGTGCAACATTAAGTATTGATTATTATAGTTCACGTTATGGCCTTTCCTTAGTATTTTTATGAAAAAAAAAATATTTATTTTGTTTTTCATCATACACAAAAATTAAACAAATTTAATTTTTGTCATTTGATCGCTTGTTTTTTGGGCGTTTGTAATTTTAAATTAACGAATAGTAAGCAAAATCCAAAGTAATAAACTTAGGTAATTGTTATCAATATCCATGATAAAATTTTATACTCACTTTTTTTGCGTTTCTCTAAAATTTTCCATGACTTATATGATGATGAATCTATATCCCTTATAACTTTTTTCAATATTTAACCTTACTTTATACTTACATAAATAAAATGAAAATATTTGACTTATACCTACTGCCACATTTTATATTTATACATGGAAAAGTCAATTTGAATAATCTTCGTTATATAAATAATCTGTGGGCTCAATAAATTTTGATATTAAAGAATACGTCGTTTCATAAAAAACGGCGTCCATTAGATTTTGATGGTGTTTTGTATAATATTATGGTTGCCTATCAATAATTATAGACTTCATAGGCGTGCTTATGTCAAAAGTAAAATAAAAGGTTGAACAGAGTATAGGACGGTGGACTGTGTGCTCGTTCGTCACCTCACCTTTACTTTGGGAAGACCACTTTGAAAGCTCATTGGTTAATCGTTGTGTGTGTAGCGCTGCCTAGCGGGCCGCCGGGCGTGCCGCCGCCGCCGCCGCCGGGTGCGCCGCCGCCGCCGCCCGCGCCCGCCGCGCCGCCCGCGCCGCCCCCGCCGCCGCCGCCCGCCGCCCCGCCGCAAGACTCGCGGGCCGCGCTCATGGAGAGCATCCGCAGCGGCAACAAGAACCTCAAGGTACACCCACACACCCTATTCTTTTTTCTTTCTTTCTGTCTTTCGTAATGGGCTCGTGTTGTTGTACTTGTGCCAGTGTCAAGTATTATAGGTTAAGATATTATCTTTTATAAGAAAAAGAACGGTACGCCCGTATAAACATTTTACTTATACCTTCTTCACACAAGCAAAAGTAGCGCTATCTGTATATCTAATACATACGAGCTACATCAGTGCCGCGTTGCATAGGTCGACGACGTCACCAGGGTTTGATTTCGTAATATAATTATACTATTTGAACCATTATATCATATTGTATAGTATGTATTCGTAATGCCACTATACTACGCGAAAATACCATAATTTTATCTTCAGGTCGACCGATTTGTATTATTGGTGAGTTCTTTTATTTTTAAATATTTACCATACAATATCGAGAATTTCTGTATGTACGACAACACCAAATCAGACAACGATAAGTTAGGCGGGGATTCCTCATGTGATGTTTTACTATCCCGGTAGTTCTGACAGAGAAGGATTATATGTTAAGGATATCATGTTCATAGCAATATTATTGAACTTGATATCGTAATGCAATTTTATTTCATTTCAAAACAAAAAGCCGAAAACTAAACGTATAGATACGCGTGACGATATAAACCCCGGCGCATAGAGAAAAAAAAATCATAAAACGTCAAACGTGGTGTAATTTTGGACAAAAAGTATTATTTTATTTTCCATATACAATATTTTTATCCAACCCTGGCGTAACTTTGGTAACGTAACCAGCAACACAATGGCTTCCCTTGCGGACTTCGGTAGTAAACTAATACTTTAAAAATGTGTTTATATAATAATTTTATTGCAACAAAATTAATGAAAGGTTACTTACCGACGACACGACATCTCATGTTACTTTTTTACCTTTGTGTCTTAATTTTTGCATACTTTTACCAGGAAACTAGGCATATTTATGACAAGAAAATACTCAATCTTGCCTGCGCGCGGACTGTCCTTAAACTATCATTTTAGAGCCAGCGCACTGGTGCCATTTAGTTGCGCGGTCGCCCTTCTCCTTACGCTAGTCAAGTCAAGCTAGTCAATGCTGAAAGGACTTAAGCATCTTGAGATTCAAAGCAAAGCCAAAGCAAGATCAAAAGTCAAACCATTATTTACTTTAATTTAAAACAGTTAGTATTGTATAACACTTAACAATGTGTTAAAAATGTCTTAAACATTTCAAATATTTTACGGTGAGCATTGCAATTTGATGCACTTGCTTTCTCTTTCTAACACTAAAGGGACCTCATATTGAACTACTTTTTTATATAAAACTGAAGTGACAAACGAAATTACAGTCCACCTGATGGTAAGTGGCTACTTGCAACTAATTAAAAAAGGCTACAGATGCATTATCACTTCTGAGGACTAAGATAGAAACCTCATAGCCTGCTTTGTTGTTACACGAATGGCCGGCTCGTCCCGGGGAAGTACCACGACCTCACAGAACACCAGCATGTAATAGAAGCTTTACTTCAGCGTTTCGTCTGGTAAGTGAAGGTAACCGGTGGCCCAATCCCCCTCCCTTTCACCCCAACCAACAAGGGGTGCTTGTACTCAACAAGACGGTACAAGCACTCCTGGTAATAGGGATTTCTCCACTGAGCATCCATGTCTAAGCTACCCAACTCTTCCTGAGCAGAGCAACAAAAGCAAGGCGAGGGCGCCTCGCTAGCCGTGAATTTGTAGAATGTGTATGAATTTATAAGTCCCATAGCGATAATGTCGACACAGACCGATTTATCGACCACATCCAAATGGCTACAGATTCCGTGTTACAAATCCCTTTTGCAGAGAACGTGACCCTTTACAATTTTAATTCCCACACTGAATGGCTCGGTTCTCGTTCAACGGACCATGCGGGGACTTTGTCTGACACAATCTGATACTTCGTCCACGCTTCCAGGCTTCAGGTGTTGAAGATCATTAACCTACCTTTTAGGTTCCCCTTTTGCGTTTAACTCATCTCACAGACTGGGAAAAAACCCCGCCGACTATGCCGCATTTTGAGTGCTCCAAGCCGGATTCACAGAACTCAGTACACAAAGCACTCTTCTCCTTGGAAATCCACAAGTCGAGTGGGACTAACGGAATTGTGCTGAGGATCTGTACTCCGGAGTTGGGTCAGGTTCTTACGCGTTTTTTTTCGGTACTTCTACTCTTCAGGTGGAGCCCCGAAGTCATGGAAGACAACTTTTATGTACCCGATTCTTAAAAAAGGTAACCGCTCTGATCCGCCTAACTACAGGCCTATCGGCATCACCTCTTTCAAAAAATGAAGTCCATTATTAACTACTAGCTCAAGCGATACTTCGAGGAGCACCAGCTGATTAGTTACCGCCAGTATGGTTTTCGTCGGAGACGCTCAGCTGGTGATCTTGTAGTCGACACAGGGCCTAGGCCTTGGCGGTTAGTTTGGACATAGCGAAGGCCTTCGATCGGGTTTGACACAAAGCGCTTCTTTTGAAGCTTCTGTTGCTTGGAATTAGGTAAGCCTATAAGACTGGGTTTTCGTAAAAAATTACGTAATTATGTCACTGGTTTCTCGCAGGTCGGATTAAAGACTTAGTCGATTGTACATGCTGTGTGCTATCGCCTTCCCTATTCCTACTGCATATCTACAAACTAGTAACATCTATTGTTATGCAGATGACAGCACTGGCGATGCTTTATCACCGGCCGTGCTAATATTTTTCTGAATCGTGTTACTTCTTCCTCGCACAACTTCTTTGTGGAATCGGCTAACGCTAGCGATTTTTCAGGGCTGTAAAAGGCTGGCAACGCATCCGCAATTCCCCTGGTGTTGCAGAGTTGTTCATGGGGAGCGGTAGTCACTTACATCAGGAGAGCCGCATGCTCGTTAGCATCCTCTCATATAAAATAAATTATGGAATTATTTTTTGTGGTTGTTACCAGTTAGTGTGAGTATAGACAGCGACAGTTTGCAAGCGAGAGGTGAATATAAGTGACGTCATTTATAATAACATTCCTATCTGCGCGAGTGGAAGAAATGCTTGTTTTGATTATTCTTAAAAATAATTTCAATTGACAATAGTGTCAAAGACCTGAAGATGATTTTTTGGAGCCTCAACTATCTTGTCGATCTGTGCCATTTTAAAACTATTTGAAATATATCATAGCAATAGCTTAATTTTTATCAATTTGCAGCACGTGGAAGTGGGCTCCAAGACATCGCTGAACGAAGACAACAGAAGCAATCTACTGAGCGAAATCAGACAAGGAGTCGAGCTAAGATCGGTAAGTACAATTTGATTTTAAGATATGGGTTACGTAGATCATTTTATTAAATTATCACAGTTAAGTTGCTTAGTTCAGCGCTAAAATGTAATGTAGGAACTAAACAAGAGATGCATTATTCTTGAAACATTTTTACAAGTGCATATGAATAAGGCATACAAAAAAGGTGGGCACAAATATTAGGTTAACCCTTATATATATTCAGTATCCACCAGCGTGTGCGTTTGAGTGCGACTAGTATGCGCAGATTCTCGTTCCAACTAATCAAATATTGTGTATTTGGAACTCATATGGTGCTTGCGCTAATTCTTGACTTCTGAACAGACAGCGAAGCAATCAGACAGTGTCATTAGTGTCACCGCCCCTACGCATTGTGAACCAAGACCAGTGTTTATAAGCCGTGCCACTGGCAGAAACCGTCCCAGTTAACACGTTCATATCTAAAGCAAAATAGTTTATTTCATTACGAGTGCGGAAAGCCTGTCATTGCAAAGAGTTCCGACAAATGTCTACCCGAGCTGAGGCGCAGCCGAAGGTGAGGGTTAACAGTTGGAACAAGTTCGGAACGGTTCCGCACGTGTACTGAACATCTATTTTTAATATAGTTGCGAAAAATGAAGCAATTTACAAGCAACTAAACTTGCAAAGAATATTTTTGTAAAATGGCGCCAACCGTAAAAGTATATTATAAGCAGAGATTTTTTTTCTTCATCCATTCTGGGTAGGCAAAGGGAACTATGCCCATACAGCCAAGTCTTCAGTAGAATTTTTTTATTGATATGAAATGAAAATGAAATTTAATGAGATGAAATGAAATGAAACCTAACCTAACTCCTTGAATCAAATCATTAATTCTGATATTGAAACAAAGTAGTAGCTTCTTTTTAGAAATATTTGCATGAAGCATAAAAAAACTTCCATTAATTTTTTTAGTATAAACTTCGTGGTTGATTTTTTCTTTTTAATAGACATTATTTTGACAGTTGGAAAGAGAACCCACGAGTTCGGAAAAGGTAAAGAAAAAGCTCGAGTATGTAATAGCCCACATCCCGAACGCTAGCCTGCAATACGCCATTTTTGAGCAATTGTATTAAAAAATAAGTTATAAGTTATATTTTTTATTCTTCTTATCTAGTTATTTTATCAGTCCGTTATTTTAAAAGTCCCCCGGCTTTTAATGTATGAAGGTTGGCCTTAATCGTAACGCTTGAGGCAAGTTGACTGAAGTGTTAAGCTTTTGATCCGACCCGTTACGTTCACTAGAGCGAACAGAAAAAACTTTCTCTAGAAAAAACGAAGGATACAAGGTATTTTTATTATAGGTGTCACGTTCGACGAGCAGTTCGGGCGAGCGCGGTCGCGCAGAGGCGCCCGCGTGCGGGCTGGCCGGCGCGCTGGCCCGCGCGCTGCAGGAGCGCAACCGCGCCATACACTCCTCCGACTCCGAGGACAGCGACGCCACCAGCGACGGCGAGTGGGACGAGTGACGCCGCTCGCCTCACCTCACCACCAATGCCACCCCCGCACACTCTCCGCCGACTGCGATCACATCAGCGTATAGAGTGTACACTACACACACACATACACTGCCGGCTCTGATGACGTCATCATGTACACCACACTCGTACACACTCTGCAGACTCCGACAACGTCTGCACGTACAGTGCACACCACACCCACACACACCGCCGACTCAGATAACGTCTGCATGTGTGCACACACACACGCACACACACAACACACTCCGCCAAACAAATACCACATTTGTTTTCTATCGTGGAGAAATCTTCATGGATATACTCCGCTACGAGTGCAAAGAAAGGGCTTAGCCATACTCCTACCGATTGCAACCCAACAATAGACAAAGGGTCTCGAAATCTACGCTTGGAAACGAAGCTACTCCATCCCATTCTTAGCAAACACCCTCGGCTCATACTACCCACAGCAACCTTGCTAGCATGTGTGCTGTCATATTCACTCGCTCACTGACATATTAACAACATTATTGTTCATAAACAATGGGATGCAGTGACGGTATTAGAAAATCCATCCTCCCACCTCGTCTCGTGCGAATAAGGGACTTCAGATAATTAGACAAATCAAAGTCAAAACTATATTCAATGTAGCCTTGTTTAAATTAATAAAAACATGAACCTAAAAAAATCTATAAAAAACATAGTGTATATTTTTAATAATACGTTAAATAAGTTAACTGGTGCTTTGATTAGGATATAATAGAGAAACAAACTTCACGGACATTCTCAAAAAAAAAAATCCCATAACCAAGATGAAAATAAAAATGTCGTGTTTTATGGCAAATGCGAAAGTAATGCTGGCACTACACGATCATCTAATCCCTGCAACGAACCTTAAACTACTAGCGATGTAAAGGGATGTTTCGCAAGGGCTGGATTGTTCTGCTAAGTTCGCTAACTCACACGAAGCGACAGAGTTATTTGCGTATTTTGAAGCTTGTGAAGCAGAACCAACTTTATGGAACTCATAACATAACATTTTCCTTGGTATAATCACGCACAAAGATAAAGTTTACTTCAACCATATTTGGCTGTAAGCGTTTTTATAATGAATAATAAATATAAAACAACTTGCAAGCGTTAATGACGTACAGTACATCTTACACTAACTTTGCGACGCCTGCACGAGTACTAGTAATGTGTTTAAATTGGAGGATTGTTGGATTATGTAGTGCCAGCATAAAACTACATCTGAAATACTATGTTCAAGTGAAATTAAAAATGAATACTACACATTTAAATAAAACTAATTTTACGAATTTTATCGCGTATATTAACTTAACCAAGGCTACCTTCAGATATTTTTTTTTATTTTAATCTGAAGGTAGCCGTGGTTAACTGTGACATTGGGACGTCTTACACCTCAGTCCCCCCGTGACCATGGGTGCTGAAAAGTGCCCGAAACGTCGGGAATATAAAATAAGTTAATATACGCGATAAAATCCGTAAAATTAGTTTTATTTAAATTAAAAATGAATAAATTCACTGGTGCCTAAAATATAAATGCTTGAATTATTTATCGTTTTCAGCATTCACCATGATTTAGTATATTAGTTGAGTGATGTATTTTTAAAATACTTATTAAAACATTATGCCTTCAAGTTCAATGTTGGGTCGTGCATAAAATTAAATATTTTGTAATGGAAATATATACTACGAGTACGCAAGATACATTTTGTATACGTTCAAGTGTATTTTGTTTTAAAATGTCCACTTGGGCCTAATGAAATGATTCTATTTCAAAGCCTTAAATTATATAAAATGTCCAGATTCCGTGTTCAATACAAAACGCAACATTTATCGTGAAGCCAATTTTTACACGTGTGTGAGTGAACGCCACGCTCTCGAGTATATTACGTATCGCATTTGCGTTTGTGTGCAATACGCGTGTAATACCAGCGGCACAGAATTACCCCAAACATGTGGGAGTTTTTAAATATTTTAAGTTTAGTGTAAAGGATAATTTTCATCATTACTGTTGCTAATTTTTAACGTTTTTTGCTTTCATTTGTGTAATTTTTCATGTGCAACCACTGTGGTGTGTTTGTGAAGTTTATGAAAGTTTTGTACATTACAAACATTTCATAAAGCTACACAATGTTTTTCGGCTTACTTAAATGGATACTAAGCAGGAGCAGCCCAATCGATAGCTGTAACGGCTCAAAATCCGATGTCGGTACGTCATTTTCATATCAATGTTGATTTTTTCAAGAATTAGTTTCTAAGCAAAATTGGAAGTGCGTTGAACATTGGACGTTTCTGGCTTAGGTTTCCGACAAGGTAACCGTTAATGCTCCTAAAATACGAGCCATGTCTCAAAAAATACTTACAAACTATAAAAACAGCATTGAAATCGGTTCAGTGCTCAGAGAGCTATGAGGTTGAACAAAAACTAACACTCACAAAAACAATCATCGTTCATGTTAATAAACTCAAAACTAAAACAAAAATTAACTCTTGAGTCATACTTCGTTTCTTTTTCGAGATTTTAAAAAGCTAAAAATATAGGTAATAGATTTCATGCTCTTTGCAAGACTCAGCAGTTGTGGCGTCCACATTAATGTCAAATTATTATTTTTTCATTTTCATATTTAAAAGTTGGTAACCAAGAAATAAAAAGTGAAATTAATACTTATTAAATAACATGTTAAGGCACTTATCTTTTTTTGAAGTGTAATTTTTACACAATTTCACAGCATAAACTGTCTTTTTTTTTTTCAAAATCAAACCACCGACTCGTGACGTGTTTAAAGCCGATATTACACAGATCAATTTCGGTTCAATACTGCTTTTAATTACATTACTTCAATAGCATTGAGACATCTAAATATATTTCAACGCGATTGCGTAATCTCATTGAAGGCTTAAATTCACCGAACGCTTTCAATGTAATGGTAGCAATATTGGTCATTGTTCAATGCAGTTGAAACGTGTATACATGAAGATTGAACGACGGCTCATTCCGCGCACCGCACGACACTTATTTCGTGTGGGCACAGGGATTATCGAAAATGGTTTTCAAGTGACGTAAAAATGGGTTTTAGAAGTTCATTATATTCACTTTCTGTTATTCGCAAATGGTTCAAATGAGAATTTGGATCTTCTGCCAATTCTACTAATAAGATGCTTGAGGCTCCTTTAGTTATCCTTCTCGAAATCCACGGGCGCAGCCACTAACGCCTAGTTTTTTTTTTTTTTGATTATGCAACTTATTTATTAAATAGTAGCTTTACATTGAAATTCCCGCACGTACGAGTTGACGCGACATCTCATTGCGCTGGGAACATTGAACGTCATTTAAATGATTTACGTGTATATTGGTAAAACCGTTCAATGTGCAATGTTCAATGTTTTTCAATGGAATTGTTTCAATTTGGTTGATCCGTGTAATATCGGCTTTAGCGGGGAACGTTGCTTGGCGTATGGCGCGGGAATTGAATGATGTAGTCAATATTGACTACTTGTATTTGGCTTCAATTCACGGTGGCCTACTAGGAATGTGGAAATTTTATATAATCTAAGTTCGAAGCTTTTGCAACATTATAATTGACTAGTCAAGGACACATAGTAAAATAACGTTCCTTAAACTCCACCCCAGCAAAATATGTTGAATACGAGCTTTCAAGTGACAGAAGTGAAAGTCAATTTGCGGATGTTCAGTTAACAAAATGGAATCATCGCCCACGTACACAATATAGTAATACAGTGTACAGACGATTGCAGTAGATGTATATCATAGAAAGAAAATAAGTTGATGAAAATATCATCAAAAACATTATTTAAATAAGTAAATAACTTATTTTAACATAAAGTTAAGTATATGATTTTTCATGTACCAGCTTTACGTTTACTACTGCAACCAGGTCCTGTTACTCAAGTTAACATTTACAGGAGCTAGGGTCACATTGATACGTACATATAAGTTGTTGTGATTGTTGCAATAAAGATTTTCAATTTTAATTTCAAAGGTTTTCAATTTCAGTTTAAATTTTACAATTTCAATTCCTTTTATAAGACCTAGTGACAATTACATTGGTATGTTTAATACATTCATTCGGCGAACAACGTGATTTAAGATTACATACATACATAGTTAATCAGAAACATCTGCCCATGCAACAAAGGCAGTTTACACTGTTTTTGCTCAAGATATGCAATGTTTTATAATAACATCAATATGGTAGTTGGCACTCATGTATTTTGAAATAATTTTCACGAAGTTTCTATAGAAACGCATGAGATTAGTTTTAAACGACGCATAGTATCTTGTTGTTTGTTCGAATATTATTATATATTAATAATAATAGCAATCTAATTGAATAGAAATTCGGGCAGTTCTTAAGAAACGACTAATAGCATCAAAAATGATGTTTTAGTAATTGAAACATGATGTCGAATACCCGATTGTAGAAACAAAATGTTAAGTGTTGCTAATAGGAACATTGAACATTGAAAATTCTTATATTGTTTACACTAACAATGTAAATTAATTTAAAGAATTTACATTATAGAACACATTATATTGATTTTTAATTTATAGCAAACCTTATATTTGAATAAACATGTATTGTATAAGCAAGTAAATATAATTTTTGTAAATGTATGTTTTATTTAACAACTAGTGTTAATGTATTATGTAGTTAGTAACAAATATTTTAATTATAATTTGACATTTGTATTTTATTTCATATTGCGATGTAAATCTTTGTATTCCCCTGTACATGTGTATATACTTATGTAGTTTTTCAGTATCTAGACATATGATTAAATAACGAAATGTAAATTTGGTTTGTAAAAATTCATTAATAATATAAGTAAACAGTTTCATGTTATATACTTTTTATATTAAGTGAGGTCACATTAAGTCTGCATACGAAATTCGCTCTTATTTAATGGTTATAAGGTTCGTTTGTTAATTTTATGGGAAAGTTGGTTCGGAGCTTATGTTTCAC